ATCGCCAAGTGCCACAATAACAGAAACTCTGCACCGGAAACAACCTTGTTGTTATTTGATTCATTTAAAAATATGTATTTCACTTTTATGATTTTCAAATTAAAATGGTACTTAAACTATTTGCAGCATAAACCTCCTTTCTGAACTAAACTTTTGAAGAAAACAACTCGAAAATAAAAGGATCTTTATGTGGGTAATATTTTTTCTTTAAGTAGCAAATAATTTTAAGCACTCTTTGAACGCCTACACTTTTAGTTCATTTTTAAGCCCGTGAAAAAACATTCGCAATTAAATATATTTATTATTGTTTGTTTTTAAAGGCCATTTTCCCCTGTGTAACTGCAGAAAACACTAGACACACACACGAGTTGTTAAGTGGTTGAAGTATTGGCAGAGCATTCGGTTAGGCGGGTGGGTGGATGAGCGGGTGAGTGGGGGATAATGAAGGAGAGGGGCTCTAGGCCTCGAAGAAAGTTGCAACTGCAGCTGGGGATTTTATGGGACTTTTTCTGGGTGCCTTAGAGGGTGGATTCCAGTTCAAAGTTTAGGTCACAGCAAAGCAATTGAACTTTGTGTTAAGATCGCTGTAAAGATCTTCGATCGGCAGTTAAGATATTGCCTGTTTTTATGCTTTCCGCATAGCATGTTTATAGCAATGTAGATGGTAGTATCTTGAAAAGTTAATAATCATAAATGATTTAGTACCCCTGCTGCCTAAACACAATAAAAACTAGAAAACTTCAGCTAAATATAAAATATTAATAGCGAAACTAATATGAAAGTACTATATACTAAATTATAAGATTACAACATACCATTTTTAAACCAATTCAGAATTCAGGAATCTAAAATATGCAAACCCCCACTCCTTGATCTATTTCGCTTAAAAATTCCTTCACAACTCAATAAGCCTTAATCAAAAGTGCACCCAAACAAACAGTTTCCACAGAAGAATTTCGAATTAATTTGTTTAACAACAAAAAGCGAATAATAACTCAAAGTCGCGGCAGCAGCTGCCTTGCCTCTCCTTTTCCGCCCGCCCTCCCACTGCCACCGCCACCCACTTCCCCCCACAATCCCCGCAAAGCCACCGCAGTTGAAACACCTACGCGTCTCAGACATTTTTCACTCCGCACGATGCCAAAACGTCTACACGTCTACGTCTATGTCTGGTGGTCTCTCCACCTCGCCGGGTTTTTCGCCAGATAATCAGTAACAAATAACAAATGCAAGAGACCAAAACAAGGCGAGCAACAAGACATGAGAGGAAAAATGCCGGCAGAAACCGGCTTTTCACAGACCCTCTCTCTCTGTTTTTCAACAGCGCGAGAGGTTTTTTGTTTTCCGATTTTCATTAGAGAGGCGTCTAAATAAATGAATGAAAAGTGGACACAATGCAACCAAAAAAAAAAAAAAAGGAAAGAGAGAAAAATGCGAGAGGTATGCCAGCAAAGAAAATGGACAGGTGAAGGCGGACGACAGCGGCTTAATCGATGCAGTTGAACGAGATCAGTAATCGGCGATCAACCGGCGATCAAATTGATTGACGAAAGTCAATGGGCGCACGCTCACAATCAATTAAGTTTTCGGACATTGAGGCGAGCCGATAAGATCGATCATTTCATTCAGTCGTGGGAGAGGATAGTTCGTTTGTGCCGCTCGTTGAGCGATCATTGACAGCAGATCGGGGCTAGTTTATATTTTATATATATAAACCATACCCACGATATAATCCTCCGAAGCTGTAAGTGCGATAGATTTGCATAAGTGCCAATTGGTTGATCGCCGCCAACGATCTGTGAATTTTGTGGGCAAGTCCATAGGAGACACAGAGAAAAAATATTATATATTTGAGCAGCTAGATCTTTCTGGCAAGTTCTACTGATTTTTATAATAATTTTATCTTTGTAAATTCAACAAACTTAATAAATGGGAACCTAAATGTTCTCCCAAAACAGTAAAGATATTTATCAATCTTTAAATTTTTTCCTGTGCATCTACGCTCTATTGTACGTACACACATGATAATAGTTTTTCGCCAAGTTTGATTACTCTAAACAAGATCATGAAGCATTTGAAAGCCCAAATTGTAAAATCTCTTTCGAGAGTCCTTTGCATCGAAAGTGAAAGTAATTCCCCGACCAGCGAAAGATTCGCTAGCCGATCACCTGCCAGATACTTGGATACTACACACAAGCTATATACATATGTACATATATGTATATATACAGTCTCTGGCAGCAAATGTGTGAAATGTCTGGAAGGCCGAAAATGGATTTTGATTCTGTTGGCTGCGTGCTACCGACGCGGCTGGAAAAATTTATTTATGCCTGTCAGGAGGCGCAGGCGAAAATGGTTCGAGGAAAATGCAAAAAATGAAAGTAAATTTCGTACTGATAAAGCCATTTACGGGGCCAGACAGACACAAACATGACATCAAATCGAAGCCAGCTTTGATTCGATCCCATTTAACACTTTTACCACCCTCGATAAAGCCGCACACTAAAATTCGAGTCGCCAGCGATATGAAAATATGTGCAACGAAGCCTTTAAAGGATCTGTGGAAAAAAACATTAGTGATCCGATACCTCGTAATGGTGGGGTCTTTATTATAGTTGGGGTTTTATAAAAATATACGCTCGAACGAGGCGACATAAAAACAATAATTATTGAAGTAATTTTCCATCTATTGCAGAAATAAACTATTTAAGAGCCGTCAAAATAAAATGATCCTTGTTTTCAATTAACTAAATAATCTCATAAGTGCCAGGTATATTTTAGTTTCGAGAAGAAACAGGTTGCATTGTCTTATCGCACTTTTTCTATGCCACTTGTGGCACCCACAGTGCCAGTGCCTGCGAATCGTAAACCGTAGCTGCGTTTTTCTACTTTTTGGGATGAATGAAATGGCCGGCCACCAATAGATAGGCCCAGACTGACTGACGGAGGAGGCATTTAGAAAGTACACTCACGCCGAGGAGGCGGCGGTGGGGGAAAATAAATTGAAAAACTGTAAAGCAAATTACCGGCAAAAGGCATTGTGACAAGACAACGCGTGGGTGATCGCCGAAGCTGGAGCTGCAAACTGCGCTGGATTGGAATCGGTATGGTATGGTATGGTATGGAAATGGTATGGAAATGGCGTTGGGAACGAACAGGCACTGGGCGATCGCGTCTGGACAGAGACAGTTTCGTATATAATTCACATATAGTTTGGCCCCCGGTTACGAAATGCCCGCGAATGAGTTATTATTTTGAATATTTTACCACATGTCGGTTTAACTGCTAAGACCTAATAACCCCACAGCTATATAAGCCCCTAAATTGGCGAAAGGAATTTCTCAAAATTGACGTGTTATCTAAATCAAAACAATTATGCACTGCCCCATTAAAATTAATAAATTAAATATTCTTATTTTAAGTCAATCTAAGACTTAGATTCTAAGTCTTTAAAAGATAAACCAAAACGGGATCAGTGCGCATAATTTGAAGTTAATTTTTTCAAGATTCCAAAAAATTGTAGAAAGGTTACCAAACTGTTTTGACCAATATCCGTAAACACAAATAAACAAATTGCATAAACTATTTTCTAAAACGGTAAACAAATACTAAGGCATATAGAAGAAAACACTTAGCAACTTTCAATGTCAAGTTCGTATTTACCAAACGAACGATGAGAATGCACATCAGACAAACTGTGCCGATCTAGAACTAGATAAGATAGCTGATGTGTTCGTGCTTGGCGCCTACAAATGGCTATTAATAAACCTCTATTACGTAGCAGGCCATTACTGCACTTAATCAATATCAAGTTGCGGGGGTAAAACTCTATCAATGAAACGTAAACAAATGAATGCGGTTTGTAAACTTTGTATTACTATACTATATAAAGCGTACGAGTAGCACATACAACCAGTGGCTGCCAAGCAAAACAATTATCAGCAGATTTGAGTGCAAATGCACAGTGACAAAGATTAACGACGTGGCGTTGTCGCGTGCAAGTGAGTAAACAGAACACTGGGAAACGCCTGAGAAAATATTAAAAACCCAAGCCACGTTGTCGGTGGAAAATAGTATCAAGTAGCCCATCGATAATCATATTATTGGACAGTGCTATTAATAGGAGACAATAGCAAACCCCAGCCGAACATTTAACGGTGACCTTGTCAGCGAGCAAACGAGTGAAAGGCTTCTTTGATCTTGCCCAGATGTTGATGGGCTGCAGCATGTGAACGAACCTAAATCGTGCCCGCAGCCCCAAGACGTGACAACAAAAACACAAAGAGCTGATAAAAATTAGTAAGGGGGAGACCACATCCCCTATTTACCAAGTGAATAACTTTATTACAGCTGATAAGAGCACGAGTTGTGGAAGAAGGCCAATGCCAAATAATTTAATCTATTTTCTTTAGCTTCACAAAATAGACTTTCATTAGCAATAAAACTGCTATTTCAACAAAATAAATTTGGCTGAAGAGAAAAATCTTGGGGAGGCGGGAAGATTGCATTTCTGGCTTGCAATACAACTTTTTGCTATACTTTTTTTTATCTACCTCACATACTCAGTTCAGTATCTTTATCTTTTTCAGTTTCTTTCTTTCCCTGGACTTCGGAAAATAAATTAAAATGGGAATTTGCTGTAGCCCTCATGTTTTATTCATGTTCAAGTTCAAGCGAATAAGTCACGTCAATTGGAACATATTTTCGTATTGATAAGTTAAATTACGCCAGCGGGAAATAAATACTTCCCCTAGAAACTTAAAAAAGAAAGGCACGTCAGCGGCTAAGAAATACTTATCAGAAAAAACCTAGTTGCTTACTACTACGTCAAGTGCATCGCACAGCAGCGGTGAAAATAATAGTTTAAGTTTAAAAAATAAAAGAACTTGACAAATTTACCATAACCAAGAGCGTTTTCTGAATCACTAATATTTTTGGCTAACAATTTTTATATAACAGCTAATCGGTTGACCGCAAGTGTAGATCAATAAACCACTTACCTTTCTTCCGCCGGCGGTTTTTTTTGTTTTTGTTGCTGCAGCTCCGGCGATTGCGGCTCCACCTCCAGTTTTTTTGGTGTCTCTAATTGCTGCGATTCACTAATACTATGCACTTTACCGGCACTATTTCCATTATTATAATTTACTTGATTATTTGGCACTTGGGCGGTGGATGAGGGGGCGTCATCATTAGTTGCTAAATCGAATTCACTAACATATTCACTAGGGCTATTTGCCGTTAACGCGGGGTGTTTTTCCACGGGCACTGACGTGTCCTTGGGTTTTGGCCTGTTGCCAGTTTTCGGCTCCCCGGAGGAAACAGAGGCGATGAAGGGTTCACCTCCATCCTTCAAGTCTGATGTAAGAACTCCTTTGTCGAGTGGCGGAGGAGGAGGCTCCGGTTTTGGTGGCGCCGCCGGTTCTTCCGGATTTTTGTGATTTTTTACAGATGCATCCGTTGTTGCCTCTGCTGAACCACCATTGTTACTTTGTGTTTGTGCATCTGCAGCTGCCACATTGTCGTACAACCAGAAACAGCAGCTGCAATCGGAAAATCCACTTAGAAAATCGCATTTTGTACTCAGTTTCTTGTTTTCTCACCTCAGCAGTAGATTTATGTACATAAAGCGCACTAAATGCAGTCGAATGTGCATTGTTTTAGTCGCTATAACTTAACTTAATCCTGGTTAATGCCAAATTGGCTATTTTACTATTTTTGCAAACTGACTGGCACACGTTCGCATCGATTGCTAAATTATACATCAGCCTAACAGCGCTTTTGTCATGGGTTCCGTAGGAAAATAATATAATTTAGCGTCACTCGAACTCGATCTAAACTCTAACACGTATCCAACATTATGGAGTTGGACCTAAATAATAATAATAAATTAAAAAGCGCTGCAAAAATGTCAACGCGCACGTAAAACAACAAAAAACTGGCGATGGCCTGGTCAAACGATAGGCGGGCTATCGAAGTAGCAGTTATCGGGAGTAGCAGTCACGGTAATCAAGCGGCCATGGCTTCCTATCGACTACACTGGTGAGAAGGAACTTTTTGGAGGTGTTTAAAATTGATTTACAAATTTTCTTTATTTCATACCAGTCGGTAAATAAAAGTAAAGCAAAGAATTGTGTCAAATAAAAGTACACATTTTTTTAAATATATTTTGTAAAATTTCTGACCTTAAAAAAACTTGTACGTGCGGTTGAGTGTTATCGATAAGCTTTCCATACAAGTGTTTTTGTTTGTCATATCGATGCAAGTGCAAGGAAGTAAATCAAAACAAAAAGGAAATAATTGGAAATAAGCCTAATAATGTCTTTTCTGCGCGGCTCCGTGAGCTATGTGTGGTGCACCACAAGTGTCCTGGGAAAAGGAGCAACCGGTTCTGTCTTTCAGGTGAGTTTGACCGACTGCATACAAAATTTTCCTTCTGACTCACTTTCTATTCCGAATTTCCTTGTTTTCTTAGGGGGTCAACAAGATCACCGGCGAATCGGTGGCGGTAAAGACCTTTAATCCTTACAGTCACATGCGCCCGGCGGATGTCCAGATGAGGGAGTTTGAGGCACTGAAGAAGGTCAACCACGAAAATATAGTGAAGCTGCTAGCCATCGAGGAGGATCAGGAGGGGCGAGGCAAGGTTATTGTGATGGAGCTCTGCACCGGGGGCAGTCTCTTCAACATTCTTGACGATCCCGAGAACTCATACGGATTACCGGAGCACGAGTTCCTGCTGGTGCTAGAGCACCTGTGCGCCGGTATGAAACATCTGCGCGACAACAAACTGGTGCATCGCGATCTTAAGCCGGGTAACATAATGAAGTTCATCTCGGAGGACGGACAAACCATCTACAAGCTGACAGATTTCGGTGCTGCCCGAGAACTCGAGGATAACCAACCGTTTGCCTCGCTTTATGGCACGGAAGAGTATCTGCATCCCGATCTCTACGAACGTGCTGTTCTGAGGAAGTCCATCCAGCGTTCCTTCACCGCCAATGTAGATCTGTGGTCGATTGGCGTAACTCTTTATCATGTTGCTACTGGCAATCTACCGTTTAGACCCTTTGGAGGCCGGAAGAACCGGGAAACCATGCACCAAATAACCACAAAGAAGGCTTCTGGTGTGATTTCCGGTACTCAGTTGTCGGAAAATGGTCCTATTGAATGGTCAACAACCCTGCCACCACACGCACATCTTTCGCAGGGCTTAAAAACCCTGGTCACGCCTCTTTTAGCTGGCCTGCTTGAAGAGAATAGGGAGAAAACCTGGTCCTTCGATCGGTTCTTTCACGAAGTGACACTCATCTTGCGCAAGCGGGTAATCCATGTCTTTTTCACCAATCGAACCAGTTCCGTAGAAGTATTCCTGGAGCCCGATGAACAGATTGACAATTTCCGAGAGCGCATCTTTCTACAGACTGAGGTGCCGCTGGAGAAACAAATTCTACTGTTCAACAACGAGCATTTGGAGAAGAAGGTTACTCCAAGAACCATAGGCAAGTCGCTACATTTTCAATAATTTTTTGCTGATTGTAATGTTGTGTGTGCCTTCCAGCTAAAGCATTCCCTGTCACCACCACGGAGCAGCCCATATTCCTCTACAGCAACGATGACAACAATGTTCAGTTGCCCCAGCAATTGGATCTGCCCAAGTTCCCCGTGTTTCCTCCCAATGTTTCTGTGGAAAATGACGCCAGCTTGGCTAAATCCGCTTGCAGTGTTGGCCACGAGTGCAAAAGACGCGTTGACATCTTCACCTCGATGGATATACTCATCAAGAAGGGAGTGGAACACTTTGTAGAGATGCTTATAACCACAATAACTCTACTTTTAAAGTAAGTCAAATATGGCTCTTTTATTTTGCAACTGTATTTATTGATTTGCATTGCAGGAAAACAGAGAGTTTTGATAACTTGCTTTCCACTGTGATTGATTACGCAGATGTTGTGCAAAGCATGGCCAGAGCGGTAATTAATTAAATGTTATTTTAAGAAAAATATTTATACAACTGTTTTACTTTATTTCAGACAAAAGGAGATCAGGAGCTTAAGACTCTGCTGACTGCTTTGGATAATGTTAAAAGCGACTTTGATGGAGCCGCCGATGTGATCTCACAAATGCACAAGCATTTTGTTCTAGACGATGAACTCAAGTGAGTTTAAGAAAATATGTTTAAGAATATAAGCTAAATAAATAAGTATATATCTAACAGTGACCAATGGACATCCTCTATGCACGGCAAGAAATGCCCCTGTAAAACCAGAGCCAGCGCCCAGGCCAAATATCTTGTGGAACGTTTGCGAGACTCTTGGCAGCATTTGCTTCGAGATCGTGCCACTCGCACGCTTACCTACAACGATGAGCAGTTCCACGCCCTTGAGAAGATCAAGGTGGATCACAATGGCAAGCGCATTAAGTCGTTACTTTTGGATAACGTCAATCCGACAGTGGCTCAGATCGCAGAGTGCCTCGCGGATTGGTACAAGTTGGCGCAGACCGTGTATCTTAAAACACAAATCCTGGAGAAAGATGTGCGAGACTGCGAGCGAAAGTTAAATGGCATACGTGACGAACTTTATCACGTTAAATCGGAGCTAAAGCTGGATGTGGACACCAAGACCATAAACAACAATAACCAGCTCGCCAAGATCGAGGAGCGGAATCGGTTGAGAGTGATGCTGCAACAGCAACAGGAAGTTATGGCGATCATGAGAACAAACAGCGAGAAAATAAGTTTGTTTAGCAAACTGGGTATTGCAAATGGGGGCCTTGAAAGCAGTTAGCTTGGCAAGTCGTGCATATGAAAGAGTATTTTATTCGCCTATGTTTACCTTGTAAGTTAAAAATAAATTTATGATTTTATATGAATTTTAAAACCGAATCTGAAGTTTTTCACTCATGGTCTTGATTTGGCTTTAGAAAAAATGTAGTCAGTAAATTAAGTAGGTAGGTGATTTAATAATTTATTTGATCATGCTGAAATACAATTTAATTTCCGTTAATAGTTAATTTGTTATTGTAATTTAACTGTCTATACATAAAAGCGGACTAGACTTCATGGCACATACAATTTAAAAAATTTAATAATGCCCTATGGCTAGAATGCAATGTATAATTAATTATTTACATTCTCTAAACAAGATTACTTTTGACGATACTGATGATGGTTCTTTCGTATGTTGGCTCCGTTGTTGTGAAGTCGCTGGGAATGTGATTTTGTCGGAATATGATCACCGGCACCGGCATCGGCTCGGCGAAGTACTTCAGCATAAGATAGGTCTAGTTTTTTAAGTTTATGTAGATCTTGAGATACAGTGTTATGATAAAATTCGACTCCGTTTAGTTCTATTACACGTCCACGGGAAGTTTGGGGAGTATTCACGTTTTTGTTATAGATTACCATTGGCGATCCGTTCCAATTGCTCGAGGAAGGAGTATTCCGTCTGCGATGGCTCCGATTGAATTCCGCATTCAATGTATCCGTACACATTTTTGAGCTGCCCTGACCACCACGACTATTCGAGGCAAGAGGACTGTTTCTGGGAGTGAACTCCCGGGAGTTAAATATTTCGATACGATCTCCAGGCGAGCTTTGGTTTCGGTGCTTTCGTCGGTTCTTCTTTTTAACCCCAACACCGACAGTTAAATATTCGAGGGGTTCACGTTTCAGTGGAGTAAGTACCTGGCCATTTTCCTTGAACGGTTTTGTATTCGGTTCGCCGACAGTCGTTTCCTTAGAAGAGCTATTTAAGAGAGTAGATTGCGTAAGTGACGATTGGCATTGTTGGTTTCGCGCTTCGAAAATGTGTTTTTTGGCTGTTTTGCGTTCCAACTTGGTAACGCACTCGGACATTGCAATGGACTGGTTCGATATAACCGAGGACACGACGCTCTGGGTGTCGTCATTAAATTCATCTGGAGATTCTTCTTGTTCTGGTGTGACTGGCGGTACTTTTGCCGGTATCAAGGGTAACCTTTCTACCACCTGTGCGTCATCATGGAGGGACGGTAGTTTGTCTACTTCGTTATTCTCAGCTGCCTTTTTGAGCACTCCAAAGATCTCCTTGAAAAGTTCTCGGTACTCCGGACGATTGCGGAAATGAGATTCAATGGGACTGACATCGTCATAAATACTAAACTTACAATCGTTTCCATTACTTATTGAGCAAAGGAAGAAACTAGGGCGCTCGTCAGTTTGTGTGCACTTGTTGCTAGTTTCATCCGAGAATCCAGATGATGTGGTTTCTGATTCCGAAAATTCGGTTGGAGTGCGCTTTCGTGTGTCCATCATGAGGTCTGCAGATTCCTTTGAGCTATTGACAACTATTTCTGTTTTCTTGCTTTGACTTAATTCGTTTATAGTTTTGGCCTCCGAATTGGTAGCAAAGTTGTTCTTGACGGCATTTGAGGTTCGTTTAACTTCCACCAAAGCCTCATATTTTTCGACTAGGTCTCGATACGGATTTGGTTTGTCGCTAGCGTTAAGGTTAAGATCTTCGGGAATTCGGAAACGCTCCTTGTAGTCAACTGCACTACTATCGCACTTTGAAGTGTTCTCGCTGCAAGACTGTATACTTCGGTCGTCATCCTCGTAAATCTCTTCGGTTGGTGCAATGGAAGATTGGTCGTCCATATTGGTATTACTCTCGTTTATATCCCGCAGACAACGACTACACATTTGACCTTGTCTCACGTCGTCAAGAAGGGAGAACTCTTCGTGCATGGACATTGTTCCCTCGTTGGCACTATTTTCGAGTAATCGAGTTTGTAGACCCTGGTTATCTTGGATGATGGTTACCAATTGTTCCTCCAATTCAGTGCAACGTTGCTGTTCCGCCAGAAAATCACGTTTTATAACCTCCATTTCGCTAAGCAGTTTTACCAATTCCTCGTTTTCTTCACCCTTAGCAGCGGTCCTCTCACACATTGTGGCATTATTATAGGACATTTCCTCAAGACTTGTTGAATTCGCAATTGCCTGAACGTCTAGCTTAGAAAGGTCCAAGTTCTGATCCTTACATAACGATTTGATGCTGTGACTGGAAACGGAACCCTCGGCTGAATGCTGCATTCTAAGACGCTCCTGCTGGTATTGATCGACTTTTCGTCTTTCTGTGCTTAGGGATTGCCTTGCATCGCTCAAAAGTTGATTGAGTTCCTCACATCGCGCTTCTAGGACTTCGGTATTGGTTGTTAGGGACTTGATTTGCTTCTTATCACGATTCTTTTCCATGTTAAGTCGCTGATTGGCACGTTCCAAATCCTGAATACCGACTTCCAATTGCTCATAAACTTTAAGCCGTGAATCATTCACCTCGGTCATTGCATTAATATGCTTACGCAGGTGCAATATTTCAAGTTCCTGTTCATCCCCCTTAATTTTGTACTCCTTGATGAACGTTTCGAGTTCCTTATTGCGTTCTAAGAGGGTTTTTCCAAGTTCGGCAGCTAATTGTAGGTCATCGAGCATAAATTGTGATACGTTTTCACTACCAGCCATACCGCGATTGGATTCCTCCATCTTGGGACTTTGGAAGCTTCGGCTTTATGCAAAAACTGTTAAAAATAAAAACAATAAATCGATTTTAGTTTATTTTTCAATAAAGCTTCCGGGGAGAAATCAAGATTACTTGTCAAATGTCCTCTCAATGGTGGAAAAGCAGCTACAACAGTAACTTTTTTACTGTTTCATCCCCAAAAACAAAAAGTATGGTATTGCAGCGACTGCAAAAAAAAGCCCCACCTATTGAGCGCAAGTGCATTTTTAATTCGCCGGATATTATGTAACGACAAAATCTACGCAATAAAAAAAATCGAATATTGTATCCTTTCACATCCGGAAATAGTTTCAAAAACATGATTTCTTATATTAGGGGGATTCCTAAAATATATTTTTATATGTTTGGCGCAAGCGAAGTTTTAGACTATTAATAGATACTTTTGTAAAAAAAACTTTTGTTTTTAAATATGTTTCGATTTTTAAAAATCTATTAGCTGTTGTCAATAAACATAAGTTGAATCATGTCTTTTGCACTGATAACTCCCTTAAAAGCAGGAAATGTGGATAAATATTTAATCCGTTATAAACTTCATATAATTTGGGGCTAATACTAATTGTGCACTCTTCAATTAATTACTTTCGAAACAGAAAGCTAGGAACTGCAAATAGGTTTTGTAGAGTATATATTTTAAAAAAATAAATTTCGGATAATTGTTAAACGTGTGAGACGCTACCTTGTCCTAACAATAATTCAGCGTTAAGAAGTGTTTGCAGCCTGGCCACACTAATTTCCCGGCGTTCATGTTTTGATTTTGTGTTTTGGTCGTTTATTTTGATTTTTTGAGAGGATGAACCCCCCGCCATGCTGTACACTTTACTCGTGGTAGTGGAGTTCGTGGACGAGTTCCTGCTGCGTCCTTTGGCCAGCGTGATCGATGCGGTGATCACCAGTGTGTACTACTTCCTGTGGGGCAGCTACTTCGTCGGCTACTGTTTGGTGGAGGGCAGCAGCCGGGCGTGGAATCTGGTTCGATGGATGGCCAGCGAGATTCATCGAGGATATGACGAGCTCTGCCTTATCACACTGGATGTGACAGACTACTTCTACGGCGGCACCAAAGGCGGCCTAAAAAGTGCCCGGGATTTTGGCCAATCCTTGGTGATGATCTTATGCAATTTGCTCATAGAACTTGGAAATATCACATTATGGGTTTTACTGCTGCTACCCAGGATAGTACTCTGCATCGTGGATTACACCCTGGACTTTGTGTTGAACTGCATTGTGGCACGTGGGTTGAGCCTGCTTAATAGCGCGTTTCGACTCTCGATTGGATTGTCCCTTCTCTTGATCTTGTACATGTTCCGGCGTTATGTTTACCTGCTGCTCATCTACCTGCTCCAGCAAGCCCGCACCGAAATCTCAATCAAGACGCAAAGAGTTTATCTTTGGACAGATCAACAGCTGAAGCGTTTCATGCAAAATATAAGAAACGATCCTGGAAACGCAGGATCTCCAAATCGCGGCGGTTGTGTGGTGTGCATGGAGCGCAGTAGGAACATCGTGATCATGCCATGTCGTCATCTTTGTCTCTGCAAGGAGTGCTCGCAGCAGCTGCTGCTCCACTTGGAGAATCGCTGTCCTGTTTGCCGGAACGATATCATATCATTTCTGCCGGTCTACATTTGATACTGTCTATTTTTGTAAATTTTTTAAGCCTAGCATTAATGTAAATAAGACTGCCAATTGGAAATAAGCTTTTAAGTCCTACTTTTCTAAAAAGGAACACAACCAAATGCCTTTGGTTGGAACAACAGTTTATGACAAAACAACCTAGATATAAAAAAAAAACACAAATTATAAAAACAAAAAATAAAAACTCCCAACAATATCCAAAAATAACGTTCGAATCTAAATTGTTTTATGTATTTATTTCAAACCAATGAAAATATACGATTTGTTTTGTATACATTTATGTAAATACGGTTTGGTTTTTCGTATAACTAATTTGCTCAAAAGACAGATATAGAAAAAACGTTTGTTTTGGGCTTATATCTTTATTTAATTTAAATGTAAATTTAAATTTAAATCGAAATGAAATGATTCGCTTTGCTTGGTATAGTATTGCAGATTTAATTGAATTGCAAGTTATGTATATGTTTTTTCTTCATAACACTCATATGCGTACTGTTTTGGATACTTAACTGGTAAATGAAACGATCAAATAAGAGTAAAATTACACAACGGGCTATATAGCATCGGTACTTATCTAGCAGATAGATATATGTTATAGCGTCTTTAGGTTTCACCTCTTCTCTTCTGTTCATCGCTAGTAGTAGGCGCATAATTGGTTATATAGCTTAAGTTATCTGTTGTGTGGTTGGGTGAATTGGAGATATAGCGTCTGTTGCACCAATAGACGCGATCTATTACGAATAACATTATCTTTCGAAAAAACGTCTAGTTATGCTATATAAATTTAATTTGTGCCAATTTCTTTTGCTCTTCTCATTTTTTATTTTGTTGTATAAAGCTTTATGCGCTGCTTCTAGCTTAATTCTATCCGTTACATAGTAAAATATATATTAACGTGTATATATCTTTTTATAGCAATATTAAAAAGTTCTCATTTAAAATCGTTTCATCGAAAAATTTCACGTTTTACGGCATTTGTTTCATTTTGTAACTGTATCTCAAAAATATGAATCCACACTTGACATTCACGTAGTATATATGTATGCATTTATAAAATTACAAAAGAACAATAAACCAAAATATATATGTATATGCTCGCTCCGGTATGGCCATATCCAGCTATATAGCTATAGCTTTTGTGCCAGAAGTACATAACTTGTAAAAGTTGTCGCTCTATTCAAAATATATATACTCGTATGTGTAAATATGCATGTACATAGGTTTGATGTTTCCATGTTGTGTAGGTACAAAGTAGGTTCCTATAGCTAGATAAATCTTTATAATATTCATATTCATGTGCATGATTGATATCCAATGTATACATTGTTGTAACGGCTAAAAATGGCATCGCTTTGAGGGTTTCGAACCCGAACCTATCTAACATCTCGTTTCAAACACTGTTTTGGTCACCTAACTGTTCCTGTTTAATCCTGTTTTATTATCGCTCCCAACCGTTACAAGTTCAGGTTTAGTTTAGCTATATTTGTAGTTAATTAGGGGTGCATTTTCTTATGAAATATTGCTCTATGGTTTCTAAACTTCTCAACTCCCTTAGGATGTATGTTTGATGTGGGTGGAATCAATTTAAATGGGTCCTTTTTCGTTTTTTTTTATAGAATAATTTCCAAAGTCCCATTTAATTTAACTCAACCCAATTTGTTAATAGCTTCAGCTTAGCCGCATGCAGATCATGGTTTTAACTTAGTTTAGCTTGGCCTAAGTTCTTCTTAAAGATGGTACAAAATCTAGTTCTCAAACATTTCATGTGCTACATGTACAATAATTTATTAATGATCTATCTAAATTGTATAGGTAATGCGAATTTATTAAACACCTCATCCGATATTTTTAATAGATTTAGTAACACTTGGGTTTCGGTTCTACTTGTTCCGTGCACTCGAAAGCTTGAAGAGATATGTTATTCACATTGGTTTTTGCGTGTTTTTGCTTTTTAGTTTACATTTAGTTATAGAAGTCTTGAATTTTACACATAGAAAATGTCTTTCGTTAATACAAACGTTAATTGGAAAGTTGCTAAAGGCTGTACTTTGAAAATTCCTCATAACATACATTTGAAATATTTGCTATCTAACGATCTTTTTATTTCTTACTTCTTGTTATCAAAGAAAAGTGGTACGTATAAAATAAACCATACAAAAGTTAGACATAAAAATATATATTTATGCGTGTATATATATTATAGACATATATATAAATATATATATATATATAGAGTTCAATGCCAATCTATCACAAAATCACATAGAGGGGTTTTCTATCGAAATAACACACACACATAGAGAGACAGATCCATCGATCTATTTACGTTTCTTTGAGAACTTAGTTGGAGTGGTTTATGATTAAATAAGGTTTTCTTCTCGTTTGGAACGTACAAACTACGGATATACAAGGGTTTTGGATTACCGAATACTTGGGCTTACTCTACAGATTATTCAGTATATATAAAGTATATTAGCTTATCGTCTAGTTTGTGTGTTTGTGTGCAACTCTCTCTGTGTCAGACACAATCATCACAAAAAGGTACTTAAACTCTCATTGTGCACTAGTTGGTGCATTGATAAATCGAACAGAATAGTCTTAGCCTATAACTATTAGGAGCCTAAATCTAGGATTTAACGGAAATACTTGGTTGGGCTATCAACTTTATAGGGAATTTATATATATTAGCTAAGGGCAAGCATGGCTTTGCGATATGATATGATAGTGGATTTCCACAAATTGGCCATAGATTTAGTTGAGAAACTTTTAAAGAAATTCAAAGAAAACATTCAATAATATTTAAACCTTGTATTCCAATTTGTGGAGACATATTTTGTGCTATTCTTGAAGAGAACTTCTAACCTAAGTTATAAATTATATAACACTACGGCTGCGTGCTTTCATTATTTATTTGTTTGCCTAAAACAATTGACTAGAAGTTAGCAAAAAGGCAAGAGAGCGTTCTGTCCGTCCGTTTGTCCGTCCGTTTATCCGTCCGTTAATGCTGAATGTTGAGCAAGCTTTTTTGTCCGTGGATAGAAAGTGTTTCCATTGCGTGCCTGCCCATTGCTTTTGACAGTTGAAATTAAACAATTTAACAATTAACGTCAACAAGTTCGACTCCCCATGACGACGACGAGTCACGCAGGACATGATTTTACACTGGAAACCCTCTCTCAAATATTCATGTCCGTAATTATCGAAGGGGCCGGGCTGTCCGGCAAACTAACTACCTCTCTACACTAAAGATATGGCCTGGGTCTGCATTTTATTTCGGTTTTGTTTTTGCGTGAGATTTATTTATTTCAGGGTTCTATACTAAAGCTAGTTTCGGTCATTCCTATTATATGTATCTTAAGGGGCTTGGCTTAAATCTACTTGTAAGGAAGCAAAGTTGTGATGATACGCTCGATCGCTCGATTGCGATTTAGAAGGGCAATGTGGTGACGAACATGTTCTCGATGAGAGCTGGCGCCGGTACGAGATCCTCCAGCTTCAGGTAGAAGATCCTCTGCAATCCCTGAACGCTGAGGGATCGCAGTTCGGGAAGTTTGCCCAGCAGGCGGCTGAAGTAGTGCTGTTTCTTCTGGGCCTCCGCATTGTAGGTGACATGATCCCGCAGACTGCCGATGATCTTCATCTGCAGCTGCTCCACCTTCTTTGGCTCCCGCAGGCCATGGCGTTCTGGAAATTTAATTTGAAAATAATATTTTATTTAAAAAATATTTATGTTTAGAAAAGTGGTTATACAAATTCAAAGTTTCATCTGAATTCTAATTTTAAGTGATTATACAAGTTCATAGTTTATTTAAATTTCTCGATAAAAAATATCTTTAATTATATTTTTATTTTATGGTGTTTCTTCTAGCTTGGTAAATTTATTTTAAATATTTGTATTGCAAATTTAGAGGTAGATTACCCACCTGTGATCAGAGTGAGGGCGCAGAGGCAGGCGAAGGCGGAGATGTCGATCTCCAGGTTGTGCAGACTGTGGCTGAACTCCATAATGTCGTTGAGCCACTCGCCGAAGGATCGCAAACACTGAGTGCGATGGAGCACAGTGCCGTTGCAGAAGATCAGCTTGGTGTCATCGCTCCTGGCGCGGTAGGCCAACCGCAGGACGAACAGCTCCAGCGAGGCGCTCTGGAAGAGCAGCTCCTGATCCTCCGGCAGGAGATCAAAGTAGCCGGGAATCTTCTCGGCAAATTGCTTGATCACATCCACCGAACTGGTCAGCAGTTGGTAGAACTGCTGCACCTTGTCCGCCTCGCTCATCGATAGCTCCTCGTAGTGGCTATAATCCAGACACGAGGGATCCGGCGTGGTATCCACATGGCTTCGAACCAGGGCTGTGATCAGTGAGATGGGTGGCGATGGCGGCGATTCCTGCGGGGATTTCGGCTTGGAGGGCAGTCTTCCTCGTCGTCCCTTCAGCGAATCCGTGCGCACCACTTCCTTGACCATTCCCACGACCAAACACTTTTGGAAGCGACAGAACTGACAGCGATTGCGACGCCGCTTGTCCACCGGACAGTTCTTGTCCGCAAGGCAGACGTACTTGGATCCCTTCTGGACGGTCCGCTTGAAGAATCCCTTGCAACCCTCGCAGGTTCGCACTCCGTAATGCTGACAGGCGGCGGTGTCGCCACAAACGGCGCACAACTGGGATGGAGCCTGGAGCAGTCGGCCCGCCTGGAGATCCGCACTCGCTGGGGAACTGGCCGCCGAATTGGGAGCCGAGCTCAGCTGGAGAGGATGGACATGGCTGTGCCGCTGGCCCAGCGTGATCTTGGCCAGCTTGGGGCTCTGGGCCGAGGAGCCAGCGGGGGAGACAGTCCGCTGAACGGGCAGCGAAGCTCTACGCACTGGAGGAGGACCGCCCACCGAGGCGGAGGAGATGTTGGCCGCCGCTGCCGCTTCCACTGCCGCCGTGGCAGCTACCAGTTCGGAGATTGTGGGAAAGGTGGGCAACGAGTAGCGCTCGCCATTGTGCGAGGTGTAGTTCTGGGGGGTAAATAAAAATAGTACGGGGTTATCAATCAATATACTATTATAGGAACATCACCAAAAATAGTTTAATATTATGTGATGGTGATAAAGAACTTTGTATAAGAAAGCAAATTGAATCCTATATTTTTCAAGACGTTAAGATTCCCCGAAATAATAATCTTTGATATATTGAACATTTTATTATGACTTTTGTGATAGTACTTTTTATATTTATTTTATTTCTTTCAAAATATTAAAAATGTTTTTTTTTATTTAAATATTACTTAAGAGGATTCTTGAGAAGTGTTTTTAAATATTTTCTTATTTTTAAATATTTTTTTCGCTCTGTTTTACTTACATGTTGCTGGTAGCTCTGCTGCTGTTGCTGCTGCTGCCCGTAGAAGTTGTCGGCGGCCGAGACGCCATTGTATTCATAGAGGGAACTGGCCGAGGAACTCGGGGAGAGATTAGCACTGGCGTTGATGGCATTGAAGTGCCCGTGGTAGTTGTAGCCCCCACTGTTGTTGTTGTTATTGCTGTTGTTGTTGCCATTGCCGCCGTTGTTGTTGCTGCTGTTGGGATGCGACATTTGAGCCTGGGTTTGCAGCGTGTGCAACTGTTGCAGTTGCGAGGGAGCCGGTGGACTGGCACTCCAACCGCCGGACAAGGGTGGGAAGCAATCCTCGTCCATCTTGAGGGTGAGCACCTGGTCAGTGGGCGTGGGGGCGGCGGTGGAGGAGGAGGAGGCCTGCTGGGGGCTGCTCCCACTGCTGCTGTTGTACTTCAGGGAGTAGGTCTCCTGGAAGCTGGGCAAGCTGCTGCCGCAGGACAATGGCCCTCCAATGGGCGAGATCAGCTGGAGTTGTTGCTGCTGCTGCTGTTGTTGCTGTTGCTGTTGCTGCTGTTGCTGTTGCTGTTGCTGTTGCTGCTGCTGCTGGGCATGCAATGCAATAGCCGGATCGCTGCTGGAACGCAGACTCAGCAGACAGAGCTGCTGCTCCTGCTCGGAACTTAGTTGCTGCTCGGGAATCGAGGAGAGTCGCTTGTCCCGCAGGCAAGTTAGCTTTGTGAGATTCTCAATGGAGCTGGTGAGGTCCTCGGCGGGATTGTCCGGATAGCCACTGGTCGTGGGGGAGAGCAGGGAGTTGTTCGAGTCCGAGGGGAAGAAGAGATCCGAGAAGAGTTCGCTGTGGGAAACGACAGACGCGTCGGTCAGATTGCTGATCAACTGATCCTCCTCATGGGAGAGCAGCGTCTCCGTTTTCAGCAGATGTTGCTGCGGGCTAACAAGTTGCTGGTGTTGCTGTTGCTGCTGTTGCTGTTGCTGCTGCTGCTGCTGCAGTTGCTGTTGCAGTTGCTGCTGCTGGTGTTGCTGTTGCTGCTGCTGTTGGTTGTGATGCTGCTGATGGAGGAGGTGGTGTTGGTGGTGTCCAGCTGCCGATGCCGACGTTGTGGTTGTCGTCGTAGCGGTTTGCGTGGAGAAATTATCGAAGGGCGACAATGAACTAAAGGAGCTCTGCAACGAAAGACAGTCGGCCGACGAATGAGTTAGTGAGCTTGCCATTCCCGTCTAGTTATCTAGTCATTCTAGCCCTAAGGGTGGAGTCTAGCTTTTCCGACTTGCGACATGCGCATTTCCCTCAGCAACTGCCATTGGTTCTTTGCCTTCAAAATCAACCCCTAAACTCTGTGATGATGATTTCCTAATTGGTTATGCTTATGCCAAAACACTTTCCCAACATATCACACCTAACAATAGCTGTCTAATTGTTGTTGCCGCCGCTGCAATTGATCTCCTCACCTCACCACCGCGGCAATTTAACAACTTGACTCCACTGGAGAGGAGTCGCCTCCTAGCAGCTGGCAATTAGCGCGGCCATTCATTTTTGGGCTTGCCAAATTTGCATGGATTTTTGCATATTTTTAGCTCGGTGTGTTTGTATTTTGGAAATTACATCTCAGCGGGGGATCGAATTTAAAATTATTTAATATTTTTTTGAGGGATTTTTGAACATGTTTTAAACTATATAAACGGAGTGCCATGTTTGCAGTTAATTTAACTCTATTTGACTTTTATGTTGCAAGTTAAAACTATATTTTTTTTAAACTTCTGAGTGATCTGTTTAACATTTTTTGATTACTAACTTCTCAATTAAGTATTCTATATTTTTTATTATACTTTTACTTACATTGGGTTGCAAAAGTAACATGCTTGTTGTCGCTTGGTTATTTAGCCTCACTTGGCTGATTTTTGTTGTGTGGATTGCTGCTGTCGCCGCTACCGTTGTTGTTGTTGCTGTTGCTGCTGCAGCACCGCCCGATCCTGCTGATGTTGCTGCTGTAACAGCAATTGTCGTCGCTGTCGCAGATGTTGCTGCGGTGCTGGCAGCTACTGTTGCTGCTGCCTGACTGTTGTCGCTGTTGCTGTCAGTTTTCTCGCTTTTCAATTTCCCCCGCAACGTGTGCTTTTATTTTCCGCGACTCAGTGGCTGATGTTGATGTTGTTGCTGCTGATGTTGCTGTTATTGCTGCTGCACCTGTAAGGATAATCGAGGAAAGGTCTGTTAGCAATTTAGAATAGTCAAAGTCAAGCGGGCGTGAATGCCACACGGAGTCTCTGGGGTGAGCTTAATGCTAAATGGCTGGTGAAATGCCAAATCTGCGATGATTTTGGCAGATTCATATTGCTGCCGTGCTAATGTTGCCTCCGCTCCACGTTGCCCAATTGTCTCGCGTTCCACACGCAAGCCGCCGTATCGAATGTCTTAATTAGAAATGCTCAACCGGAGTCGAAGTCGGAGTCGCAGTTGAAGACTCTGTCCCAGGCTCTGGCTGTCCACATAGATAAATATATGGATATATCTTGTACATCCCAAGATGCCGAGACACCTCCTCATTGTGTCGCGGGGTTGGCCAAGAGGCAAGCTCACGTTGCAACAAAGATGTAGCCACCGCAAAATCGGACACAAAAAAAACACAAAAAAATAAAAACCAAAAACAACGTTATAAACCTAAACGAGGATCACATCTCCATCGTTCGGTTAATGCGGCACATAAAATGTAATAAATTGTGTTGTCCGATGTTGCACGGCTCTGTGGCATGGCCACGTTGCGGGTGTTCGGCTTTTGATTATAATAAATATTTTGGCTGATTCGCATTGCAAAATACAAGCCAAAGCTAGCTGCGCCTCTACAAAATCATTTTTCATAATTTGCATAATTTATGCTCGAAATTTGAGTCGGAATTCTGGACAAAAAAATGCTAAAACAAAGTTCAATAAAATTTAGGAGCAACCCAAAATAACAATATCTTTTTATACCACCTCGAATCAGGCAAACTTTTGGCCAACTCATAAACTGTCAGCAAATTCCATTAGCCATTAATTAAAGCAGTCAAAACTATCGGACAAAACCTCAACAAACCTATTATTCACACATGCTCATATTTCACTAATCAACCGATTTTTTGTCTATATATTTTTCATTTAATCTTTTTCCAAAGATTTTCCCTCAACTTCTGCTGACTTCTGGCCGCCTGACTCTTTTGACACTTTTTATCTGCGAGAATTAGTTATAAAACGGCAACACGAAAATAATAATCATAGCCCACCAGATTTTTTTTTTTTTTGTGGTGGTAATATTTCCTAACGTGTGTTGTCTTGGCTTGAATTTGACAAATTAATAAATGTTGCTGCGGCTGTCGTGTCAGTTGTCTTAGACAAAACCCAAAGCCGAAAAACAAAACAGAAAACGTGGACACAGTTCAAAGGGGGCAGTCATAAAAAATAATGAAAAAAAAGATGGATAGATAAATTTATACGTAAATATGTATATACAATTTATAAATATTCATGATAGGTGAATTGAAATATTGCACAAAATTATGTTTAAGATTATGGGAAACAAGCGCTAAAAAATAAATTGGTTTTAATATGTGTCGTTTTTATAAAAGCATTTAAAATAAAGTAAACAATCTTGTAATGCAATCGAAGGCAGAACCATAAAGTTCCTATAAATCACTTGAGCATCTTCTGCAATTTAGAAACAATTTTTCGATTCTACTAGAATTTCCAGTTTATCTACCAAAAAAAAAAAAACAAACAAGAATGTAAAAAATAATCAACAAATCGAAGTGCATGCCAAACGCATAACTTGCCTTTTAGATTGTTAATTGCATTTGGCCTAATCAAAAAAAAAATGTTGTTCCACTGGCTCTTTCCATTTTTGGGCAATACTTTGGCAGTGACAAATATTTACACATTGACACTTTTGCATATAATATAAAAATATATCCAAAGAAAAAATGAACAAGTCCCAGGGGAAATCAAAGAATAGTTGAAATTTAATTGGTTTTGGCTTTGGTGTTCCCTTTTTTATCAAATGCTAAACGAAATGCAAATGATTTGGAGTACCTGAAGACTTGCAAGGCTGTTTAAGGGCCCACAAATTGCCCATGATATAAGTGCATCTTCCTTTGCATTGAGCAATTAACTGACAATGGAGGAAAGGTCCGACAAGTCGCTGGGTATTGCATAAATCAATCAAATTGTCTCTCACTCGGTCGCCTCATTGAGTAATAGATCCAATTTCGATATGAAACAGAAATTGGGTTTTCTTCTCTTCTTTAGTTTTTTGTGTCTGCTTGTTTTTTTTGCACAACTTTAAATACCAACCCCATTACCCATTAAGCAACAAAGATGGCTAGTACAACAATGAACAACAATTGATGAAAATCGACAATTAATAGTGAAAGTCTAGGCCCAGACGAAGCATCATCATCAAAGGTACTGCAGGAAGTTGCCTGCTTGGGGAAGACTGAAGACCCAGTCTGGGGTTTGGGTTTGGGGATTGGGGATTGGGGGACTGTGTAGACTGGGGACTCCTCCATGTCTATTAGGCCATGAGTCTGGCTTTGTCGCTGTCGTGGATTTCAAAGGCGATAGCATCGAAGCCGCCAAGTTGCAGCCAAGAAAAAGCGAAAAAACCTGCCCCAAAATGAGTAAACTCCTTCGACTGGAGAGACTGAACCGAACCCGAGACCCATTTGTATACTTCTCACAGATCTTCACACGGAGTTTGGGGAAGGAGATGAAGAGTTGGAGTTGGTTGTTGGTTGTTGGAGACGTTGACTGTGGCACCCACTGACTCAATGACTGAGTGGCCGGGCATGGGCCATTTTGACCCGGCCGAAAAGCGAAGACGAGCCGGCGACTCGCATTACCATTTCTTTGGGTCACTGCACAAGAGATTTCCCCCAAAAACCCCCAAACATCCCCCATCCTCCGCTGTCAATTTCGGCAGATGCCTACATGTCCAGGTCCATTGATCAGGTCTCTCCAGCTCCATAGCGAGTTCGCAGTTCAAAGTACAGAGCCTCCAGTCGAGCTTGCCAAATAATATGTATTAACGATATTATATAAAAAGAAGAAAAACGAACGAAAAAAATTAGCAAACTTATGCAATGGCCAAGTCTGCTTTTTTTTTCTCTCTTCTCTACTCTCCACTGCATTGTAATAAATTTGTTAACGAGCCGGCCAGAAAAATCTTCCTCGCTGAAAATCCCCGAAAAAATAAAGGAAAACAATTAGAAAACCGCTGTTTTTTTTGTCGAGGGAAGATGCTGCCCCGGAAAAATGCTGTGAAAAAAATGCATACCCAACCCAAATTACAAATTTCTTAATGTTATTTGCTTTGGGGCCATCGACAAACAATGGTTAAAATGGGTAATCTTAAATGTTTATCGCGCACTCTTCCCGGTAGCATTTTTGGCAGTAGCCCACGGTAGTTTTATTCAGCATTTTTTTTTTTATTTCCATTTTTATTTTCTTTGTTTGCAGATCGAAGAGTTCAGCCAGAGCCGCGTCGTCTTCGATGAATTGCTTTCTAAATGACCCAAGGCCATATTTGGAATGATATTTCATATTGATCTGGGAACTCAGGCTCGCTGGGCGGAGGCATTGTTTCTGGACGACCGAGCTGCCTCGCAAAAAAGGTGTGTTTATCAATAAAAAAAAAAACAACAAATAGCACAAAAAAAGCGAATATTATAAATGTGGGAGAAACAAAAATCTGAACGTGACTTTTGACATGTGAAAACCGAAATTATTCAATTCTCATTCAGGGCAATATTTACTGTAATATTTCGTGGAATCAACTGATAAAATCTAAATGGCTGAAAACATTTCTTCGAAATTGTATCATTAAAAGTTGTTTATAATTTCTTTAAGCCATTTATTTAAGCCATTAAAGCATTAAGCTTTGATTAAGATATCTTAGTCCTGGATAGTAAAATGTTTTTAATGCCTCGCTTACTATTTTCTTTCTTGTTAATTACTTTTCTTGTTTAGAGGTTAGCGGAACGCATAAATTCACAAAATAAAACAAATCCTTGGCGGTTAATCCTTAGCATTTACCACCCAACAAAATGGACATTATGCCAGCCCCATCCGTGTTAGGTATTTAAACAAATCTTACAATGGTAAATAATACGAAGTTAACTGTTGGTCGTTTAAATCAGATTTAATGGAATCTTCGAGGCGAGCATAAATCTCCTCAGGCATATAGTAAAACTGGCCAGGCTGGCACCTTTGGGGGATACAATCGCATCTCTTAAAACCCCATAACGCCACACAATTAAATGTAAGTGAAACTGTGTCAGCCATGTTCGTACATCGATGTAGATGCAGATGCCGATATAGAACTATCATCGGTGGCAAAAGGTCGAAAGTGTTGGCTATCAACTGCCGCGATGAACAACAACAATATCATTAAAAGACAATAACATTGTTCAAGAATTTCAATTGAATGAGTCAAGAGCAGAGCTAACAGATCGAAATCGAATAAAAAATAAAAAAAAAAAGTTGAAATTGTCGCAACAATTCGTATAAATCTCTTTGCGCCACTTTGAATGCTAAGTAAACCAGCGGCGACCACATCGTCATCGGTTTTTAATCGCTGCAAAAATCACCGAAGGCCATCTTGGACATTTCATAGTCGCAATCCCCATCCCCGCTCCCTCCGATTTATAAGCCAAATCAAAACGAACCCGAGACGACCGACCATCCGAACGGATTGAAGTCATTTTTGAGCGCATCTCAACCAGTTGCCAGTCGAGTGTATCTGTATCTGTATCTGTATCCGTGGCCGCTTCTACCTATATGCCTATATCGGTGTGTTGGCCAATACCTGCGGTTTGACACTTGTCGCCAAAATGCAGATAGAAAAAATTTTACAAACTAAATCGAAAAGAACTAGAGGAAGATCTGCCTAAGCATATCTAAAAATATGTAACTAAAAAATTTATATAAGCACATCTTAGTAAAACTAAATGTTGAAAGAAAAATTATAAAAATATAAGCTAGCATTTAAAATCACAAATAATTAAGAACTATAAAATAAACAATAATAAATAAATAAATAATAAAAATTGTAATCAAAATCTATTTTAACGTTAGTTACAAATCTCAACCACTTTTTTCGACTTTAAATTTGTATAAATTCTTAAGGAGTTTTTTTTCCAAGTGCAGATGCCTTTAAA